TTGTGATCCAAAGATTGGGTGAGTTTATTCCTCACAAACCCCTGAAGTACATTTTTAGCAAAAATTTTCTTTCAACAGAAGAAAATCAAATCCAGAAGGAAGGAATGAACTTCAAAAGGCAAAGAAGTTAGTATGTTGGTTTCTTTATATAAGTTATAAATGATGATAGTGGCTAGTAGTCTTGAAAAACAAGTTGAAATTAAAATAGTAGGTAGTAACATGGAAGATGAAAGAGGGCATTCTAAGATCCTTTATTTTCAAGAGGGGAACATAAATATTGATTAACTCATATATGAAAAATTTAAGCATAACTGCTAAAAGAATAAAAATAATAAACTAACACTTCTAAACCAGTAGAGGGAAGAAAAAGGTATTAAAGCTATCAATCCAACAGAAACAGGAATGAAGGAAAAGAAAACATAAGAAGTAGAAAGTACAAAATAAGTGTGTCTGTCTATTAACCTATCAGTGTTTATGAGTGATGGCAAAACAGATTTAACTTATATCTTAATCACTATAAGGTTATCTTTATTTTATCTAACCATGTACCACTAATAAAATACACTTAAAATAATAACAAGTTTAAAAGCCCTACTCTGCCTTATGGATTTATCATTGAAAATATCAGGGTGAGCCCTACCCAGTGTGGCTCAGTTGGTTAGAGCGTTGTCCAGTGCACCAAAGGGTCACAGGTTTGATTCCCAGTCAGGGCACATACCCAAGTTGCGGGTTCAATCCCTGGTGGGGGTGCATACTAGAGGCAACCATTTGATATTTTTCTCTCACATTGATGTTCTTTCTCTCACTCTCCCTTCGTCTGTCTCTAGAATCAATGAAAAATATATTCTCGGGTGAGGATTTAAAAAGAAAGAAAAACATCAGGGTGAGAGGTAGCATTGAAAATGACTATGGTTTCTTGCCTAAGAAACTGAGGATACCATTAATTAAGGATGATAGAGGGGCAAGACCCACCTTGGAAGTGAAAAGAAGTTAACATTTATTGACTTCTTCCTAAGTCTTAATAGGGGGTTGCAAAAGAAATTAGGAAGAGGCATTGGAGAGAACTTGTGCCATGTGTCACAGAAGTCCAGACACAGGAAGAGAACTTAAAGTGTGTGGCGGCATGGCAGCTCCAAAGAGGAGAATTTAAGAAGAAAGGATAGGCGACTTCAAAGATAAAGAAGATGATCAGCAGTATCTGTATGGAGAAAGGGTGAGAGCAGAATGAGTACTGAGAAGAAGCCTTTAGGTCAAGCTTTAAGAGAACAGACTAATTGAGTATTGTACCTACTGGTAAGAGATTAAGGCAAAAAATGTGAAGAAATCAAGGAAGCAGGAATGGATTTCTCTCTCTCAAGAAGTTTAACACTGAAGGGAAGACAATGGATGGTAAGAGAAATGCAGGCTCAAGGGAAATTATCTTGGAATAAGCAACAACCACTTTTAAGAATAACACTTTAGCCTGGCCAGTGTGGTTGAGGGTAAACCCATGAACCAGGAGGTCACAGTTCGATTCCAGGTCAGGGCACGTGGCCAGGTTTCAGGTTCAATCCCCGGTGGGGGGCACAGGAGACATCTGATCAATGATTCTCTCTCATCATTGATGTTTCCTATCTCCCCCTTTCCCTTTCTCTCTCAAATGAATAAAAACATTAAAAAAAAACAAGAAAACTTTTAATTATCTAGAGCCTTCAGAGAAATGAATTTCCTATGTAACCATCTTTTTGAGGTTACCTAATGCTGCATTTTAAAATACCAAAGCTAAAAATAATATTAATAAAATACCAAAGCTAACCCTGGCCAGCGTTGCACAGTGATTAGAGCATTGGCATGCAGAGGGTTGCAGGTTCAAGCCTGGCCCCAGTCAGAGCATGTGTGGGAGGCAACCAGTCAATGTGTCTCTTTCACATGGATGTTTCTCTCTCCCTCCCCACTCCCTCCCTTCTACTCTAAAAAAATCAATGGAAAAAATATTCTCATTCCTCAGGTAAGGATTTTAAAAAATAATAAAATAAAATACCAAAGCTAATTTTGACCATTTTTACAATACCCAAAGTCACTAGCAATATCACGGTGGTCTATTGCCTTTAACTATGAATGATACTCTTTCATGACTTAAATAAAACCAGTTGGACATTGTTTAACCTTGACCTCAGTCATTGTCCCTTGAATACAGGACCTGTTGAGGCCTGTAGGACTATTTGCCTCTACACTAGCCACAGGAGCTATCTTGAATTCTTTTATTTATTTATTTTTATATCTTTGAATATCTTTCTTTTACTGTCAGTGATCTTTTCCCATAATTTGCCATAATTTTCTATGTCTAGTCTGCTCATAAGCTGGATTAAGGTGTGCTCAACCCTGACAGATGAATCTACTCAGTATATTAATTTAGCCAAGTTTCTGAATTTGAAAGGCTAATCACCAGGATAATAAACATCACCCTTATATTTATAGTAGCCTTTCCGTATGTGGTTAAATCTCAGATGTACGATTTAATACAAAACCAAAAGTAACCAAGAGCATCTGAGAAACTCTACTTAATATAATATATGAGCTTTAGTATGTAAATTTAGGGACATTTATTTGTCTCTAGCCAAAGATCTCTTTGGAGGCCTGTTTATTTCCTGATCTCAACAGAAGAACTGGAAGAGAGGGCTACCTAGCCCTCAGGTGGGACAGAGATTCTGCCTCTAAGCCGATAATTCTCTCAATACTAATAGAAAAAGGAGTATCTCTCCTTCCCACTTAACACCCATCCTCCAGAAGAAAAAGCATTTGTTGTGTGTGAACTAAAATAGCCTCTGCTTTGTCACCTTCTGTCTGCTACCTGGGCTGTGTAAGTAAACTTGAGTTTTATAGACTCTACAACCTGGAATCTTAACAATATTGAGATCTTTCCCTACAGACCTTGGTCTTAAACAATGCAACCGTGGGGCTAGATGCAGATCTCTTTTAACATGAGAATTGATGAATTCATAAAGGGTTTTAACAGAAGAAATGGAGAGTTTCTGGTTTTCTAATTCCTTAACTCACAATTCTGAAAGCAAGGCAAAGACATTCCAAGGAGGGAAAGGCCACTGGTAATATCAGCATGTCTCTTATTAAAGGTCCAGGGGCAGGCTTCTAGGAGGCCTTCCTTATAGGATGGCATTTATTATCTTGGTGATTTACCAGAGACTAGCTTTTAGCTTTTCAGGTTCAGAAACTAGTTTAATCAACGTACAAAGAACAGATTCATTATCAGAACTCAGCTCACCTCAACCAAGCTTACAAGATTGATCTGCAAACCAAAATGTCAGTTGACATTTATATGGAAAAATATAACTGACTGATATTCTAAAACTCTAAGTGATTAGCTTAGTCTTTCCCCGTAGGCAGGCCTGTACAGGGAGGCGGATCATAAACAGGTTATTGGTGAACATGAAATCAGAATAAAGGTGAATCATGTTTAATGTCACAGAGAGAGTAATCCATCCACAATAAATACGGTCCTACTGGTGAAACTAAATTTCTTGGAAATCTGCCAGCAAAGACTCTCTGCCCTAATCAGTATTTCTATAGGCATCTGCCAATGTTTTGTCTCAGGTTTTTTGCCTCGAGGCTTACCTATGCCCACACCCACCCAAATCACCTCCCACATTTGTCTTTCACTGCGTGTTAATACTTTCCATCAGCTTATATTAGTTATTCTTTTTTCTTTTTCTTAAATGTTTTTATTGACTTCAGAGAGGAAGGGGGAGGGGGAGAGGGGGAAAGGGGGAAAGAAACATCAATGATGAGAGAATCATTGATTGGCTACCTCCCACATGTCCCACACTGGGGATCAAGCTTGCAAACTGGGCATATGCCCTGACCGAGAATTGAACCATACCTCCTGAGTCATGCCAGCCGGGCCATTTATTCTTTTTTCTTAAGTTTAGAGTTTAAATCTCAGTGAACAATCTTATTGTCAAGTTTCTGGAGCATACCTCACTGTACTTACATTGGTCAAGAGGAGAGTGTAGCATAGATAAGGGTGGGTGGAACAGCTCACGCAGATCAGGATTTACCAGTCATTTACCAATAAAACCTTCCCATTTTTACTATTTCTATGCTACATGTGTATCATTAATATTTTTCTTTAAATCAACTCACTTTTAAAAAGCAAATTTTACCCCCACCATAAATGGAAAATGACTATCCTTTGTCCTAAAAGGAGCATGGTCCTAAAAATAAGCATAACTGAAAGTAAAAGGTCTTATTTTTTCCGTGTACTTTTTTAGCTAGACACTGTTTGCCATGGAAAACCCTGAGCCTGAGCAAGTCTGTGCACCAAACTTTGACTCTGTCTTTATCATCATCATAAACCTCAAAAGAAGACTGAATAACAGATTAATTTTGGTTATTTAATGCACCTAGTGTCTTATCCAACTACCATCTAAAAAATCCTATATAATAAAACCCTAATATGCAAATCGAACGGCGGAACAACCAGTCACTATGATGCGCACTGACCACCAGGGGGCAGATGCTCAATGCAGGAGCTGCCCCCTGGTGGTCAGTGCACTCCCACAAGGGGAGCATCGCTCAGCCAGAAGCCGGACTCACGACTGGCAAGCGCAGCGGCAGTGGCAGGAGCCTCTCCCGCCTCCACTGCAGGTGGGCGGTAAGGAGCGAGGGGTCCTGGACTGAGAGAGCCCCAGACTGCAAGAGGGATGTCTGACTGCCAGCTTACAGGCAGGCTGACATCTCCCGAGGGGTCCCAGACTATAAGAGGCTGCAGGCCCAGCTGAGGGAACACACACACACACACCCCTCCCAGTGTACGAATTTCATGCACTGGGCCTCTAGTAATTTATATTAGGCATCCCACATGTGGAAAAAGGTCTTTTGAGACTTTAAGAGTATCCAAAAACTGTTTATGTACCTGTAGTGATACCTTCTTTCTAGCCTTGCCTGACCCCAGCTTTTGCCTGGTGCTGCACTGATGGGTCTCGCTCTTGCTCCTCCCTGCACAGGTACACACTGGCAGCTCAGGACCTGGTGATGCGTGCTCGTGGTGTCCTGAAGGACAGAGGATGGCGGATATCTAATGACCGACTGGGCTCAGGAGATGACATTTCTGTATATGTCATTCCTTTAATACATGGAAATAAACTGTCATGAAAACAACTCAGGGGATTGGAAGATCAGAAGGAAGAAAGCTGGGATGCCTCTTGGCAGGGCAGGACTGGGAAGTGCCCCAGCAGAGTTCCAGATGGTGCCACCTCTTCCCAGCCCAGATGGAGAGTTTGCTGCCCAAAAGCCTCCGGCTGTGTTTCAAGAGGATCAATAGGTTTCAGTTACTGCTATAGTTAACAAGTCTGGATACTCAACAAAAGCAAAACCTAAAGGCTGCTACTGAGTGTTGTTTCTTTTGGTTCCTTCAATAGGCCTCCTAAGTGGCCAGTGCCTATTTTGGGCACATAATCATATTTATTTTAACTGGAATGCTGGGGCAGCCATTTTCAGGTGTAACTGGCAGAAGACTCTTCGTCTGTCAAGCTGCCAATTTGTCTACGGGTTGGAACGTTGGGGATCATGCCTCAGAAAGTGTGAGCGCCCACCTTCTACTAAGCCTGAGATTTATTTCAGGGAATGCTATCTATGTGTGTGTCTCTCTCTATTCTTTCATGATGATGATGATGGGGTGAGGTAGGAATTTTTTTTTAATTTCTTGAATCTTAATTGTTTCCATAGAACAGGCCTGGGACTTTCCAACTCCTTGCTGAGGAATTTGTGTGTCCAAGTCCAACCCAGGCTGTCACTGTATCCTGTAACCCACACCACCCAGGCAGACCTCTGGAGCAGTGCCCTGGCTAACAGAGTGCTGTCTTTGTTGTGAAATAATTTGTTTCTAGGTTGATTTTTTTTTCCTACTAAATCAGTGTTTTCACGAAATTTGGGGTATTTCTTTGGGCCAGCAGTTCCTCTTTTGTCTTCAAGGGTCTCCCTTGTGTTGTTTGAGGTTTCTGTTGGTTTCTGAATCTGGGTTTTCATTTCTGGAATGATTGCTTCCAGATCCCAACCCATCCTTGCTGTGCCACAAGTACACACGTAAAGCAGTGTTTAATAGAGCTGTATGGGAAGTCCCTTAATGTCAGTCAGTTTCACCACACCTCATTTCAGAACCTTTCCTCCACTTTAAATCCAGGTTCCATGGGCTGCAAGGGTTCCCAGGCCCACTCCAAATAATGTGTAAGTATCAGAGTCTGTCAGGGAACAGCAGGCCCTCTCCCCACCATCTTTGGACAAGACCCACTCAGACTGAATTTGATGAAACAGAATTTGAATTGGGTTGACTGGCCATTCACATGCTCCTTCTCCATGGAATCAGGTCCCAACCACCCAACCACTTAGACTACTGTTCCCTCTGAGTGTTCCTCATGGAGCATCCACAGAAGCAGTGGACACATCAGATCTGCCAGGTGCTTCACTGCCCGGAGGAACTGAAAAATTAGCAATCCCTTCTATCTCTTAGACTGCTGCTCTGCATGGGTACCTTGTAGAGCAACATCCCATTACTGAGCCTTCATCCTGGAGAGCTCCTGTGGTATCACCACCATCTGGACAACTTCTTGTAATTAAAACATTCAATGAAGAAAGAGTCATTGCGGTGGTCCCCCAAAATGCTGGAGAGCCAATTCCAGTTCTCATGTTTTTGAAACCCTTCCCCACAGGAGAGGACAGGACCTTTCCTCCCGGAGAGTTCATCGCCTGCATACCTGGATTTATAGATTTTTTTTAGGAATGGCCAGGAGCCTTCCTATTCTATGTTCATCCCACAGTGTGGAAACAGTGCTCAGCCTGGTGGGTGAAGTACTGTGGGAATTCATCCATCAGGTGGTTGCCAAAATGTTGTCTGGGAAGAACTGGACTACAACCTTGTCAGGCATCCTCTTCATCTGGTAGCGTCCCTCCTCCTCTGATAAATCTTAGCTACCCCAATCACTCTGTGGAGAGAAGTTTATGGTAGACAGTTTGCTTCTCTGACAGAATATTATGTTATGGAAAAACATGCAGGCATCCTACAGCAGTGTGGTCCATTTTCTGTACCTGCCTTGACTCCCTAACCCACATACAAATTGGAATCTTGAGAGTTTCCCTTGGAGGATTCCAAGTTATCAGCTTTAGGAAGCAGTCACCTCTTTCCTATGTTTCCATTGCCTTTCATTTCTTTTCCCTTTCCTGAGCTTTTATGTACTCCCTATCTTGAGCTTCTCCAGTTTTAATTGAGCCACAAGAGTCAGAGTGTCGATGCAGACATGTAGATGTGACATGTCTTAATTCATCAATTCATTTACTGCCAAGGCATGTCTCAGGAAAAACTCTGGAACTCCCTTATTCAGTGTATCCTAGTCTTGCACATTTAGTCCTACTGCTTTTAGTTGGGTAACTAGGAATTCTTTTCATAAGCCCCGTTGGGTAAAAAGAGCTCAGTAGCAAGCTGAAGCCATGATTCTATTGGGAGTATGGGAGGAAAACTACAAATGAGGTGAATAAATCAAATGTGGAAAAAATTATTTGTTATGCTCATGGAAAAATCTACCCAGTACTAATACTGCTCTGTGCATTGAGCTTACTCGGTTTTAGCTTTATTTTTTACCCAGACCCTACATCATCCCATCTCAGAGCAGTAACGGTGTCTACATAACAGGTAGGGTCCTGGAGCATTCCTGGAAGGGTCTAAAGGTAACACTCAAAATTCTGCAGAATGTATGTATACGTGGTTCTGAAATCTTCCGTATCTGAGTTTGTAGCCAAATCTGCTTGTCCTCATAGCCTCAGAGGAAGTCTTGTTTTCCTAGTCAAGTCTTTATGGTTGTCTTGGGGGTGTGCGGCCACTTCCTTTAATGAAAGGCTCTTCCAGTTCTAAATCTTGTTGTTGGGCTGGTCCCTGCTCTTTCAAATATCTGACACTTCAAATTTACACTTCATCCACACTGCAGCATCTTCCCAGGCAACAGCCAAACCTTTGTTATCTAAACACCTGAAATCAGAGCAGTGCCAGCAGTCAGAAGGAGGAGGGGATGTTCTGCAGTGGTTGTGTTTACATAACTGCTACTCTTGGATAGAACTGAAAATCAGTTAGGCCAACTACTAATAAGACAAAGCCCCCCACCGCCCTCCCTCAAAGTGGGAATTTCAGTTCTTTTCCACAGTATTCAGCTTTGGGAAATTTAGGGTGCTTAATTTTTTTAATCCTTAGCAATTTACCTCCATGGGACTATGTGAAGTCAGCTGTGCTCACTCTCTTCTTACTCTTTTAAGTATTCATTTATTTTTGGGAGACCTACCGCAATAGATAGATATTGGTAGGCAGGGATGAGTGTCCTGGTACCCAGATTTGGCCTAGGATCGTGGCCATTCAGGAAGGGTTTTCTGGTTTACCAGGAAGATTAGAAAGAAAACACTTGGAAAAAAAATCTCCCAAATCTTTAAAACTCTAATTCTCCTCTTGATCTCACCTCCTTTCGCATCTGCCCGTCAACTTTAATTTACAAGGCCACAAGTGGTCAGTGGTTTTCTTTCCACCACAGTTTGAGGATCTTGCCATTCCTTAAATGACCCAGCAGTTCCACTCTTTTCAGAGTGAATCTATTAAGCTTTTATGAGTTTCTATTTTCAGTAAGTTAGTGCTTCTGGGACACTTGGAGAAAGCAGTGAGAGTCATTGTCTATGCAAAGAACAACCCGGCTGACCCAAAAACTTACCAGATCTAAGAAAAAAGTAAAAAGCATATAACAGGAACTTGGATTTTTGAGGATTTACAACTGCAGAGAAATTTTGCAGCCTGCACCCCATAGCCCATCTTGCTGAGCAAACTGGTTTTGTGTTGGTGACGGGGATTTTTCAAGACACTACATGAGCAGCCCAATTTGCCTCTTATGTGAGCACCATATCTGAGTGCCAGTCTGAGGAGCACTGCACTTTCCAATTCATGGCATTATCTGTAAATAGCTTTAATTTTTCCTTTGCATCTTAGATGCAGTTTTGTTCATGCAGAGACCAGGTAGACAGTGACCAAATGAGGCTGTACGTGTTGTTGTTTTCTACTATGATGTACTTGAAGGAGAACCTTGTGTCCTCCACTCTTCTAATCCTCCATAGTATTTGTGTTTGTTTGAGGCGTCCTGAGGTTACTCCTTCCCTCCTGTTTTGCCTCCATTTTCTTTGTTTCTTCTGGAGACCCAGGGAGGCCCACAGTGGAGACCATTTGTAAGGAATGTATCATAAGGTCTGGGTTTCCAGAAACACCCTACGTGCAGTGAATGAGAGGAATATGCCTGAAAATGATTTCAGAACCATGTACCTTTATGCTTTGTGATTGTGAAATCTTGACTTTTGTAACCCAAAAGTGAAAACTGTTTAGTAATGGGGATCTATTTTGTGTGTTTCGAAACTTAGGTGCAATGTTCCCTGGAAAAAGCTAAAGAAATGTATATGCTCAATTATGTTTTAAAATAAAATATTATATATATGTATATAGGACACCGTTAGCAAAACTTTTTGTGTCACTTCTTCAATCCACTATGAAGTTCCTTCATATCAGGTAATGGGATGAGGGGAGAGTCTCATGGCCTAATGTGGAATTATCAACTGTGAACATTCAAAAGTAAATCAAAAGGGAACAGATGCCACCACTAGCAATCCTCACTGGAACAGCAGCAGTAAAGGCTACACATTTCAATAATGCCACCAGAAGAATGACCATGGATATTACTCCCAAGAGGTATTCTTTTTTATTTTATTGGGGTATAATTGACATATAATATTAGTTTCAGGTATAAACATAATGATTTGATATTTGGATATATTGTAATATCACTACAATAAGTAGTTAATATCTGTCATCATACATAGTTACAGATTTTTTTCCTTATGATGAGAACTTTTAAATTCTACTCTTAGCAACATTCAAATATGCAATACAGCATTATTAACTACTAGAGGCCCAGCGCAGCCCCGCCCACCGCTTGCCACCCGGCCCGCCCTGCCCACCGCAGGCTGGGGGGTGGGGGGGAAGGATGGAGGGACCAAGAGGTGGTCAATGCACCTCATGATGACTGGTTGAGCGGTCGTTCCGGTCATTACGCTTATGGTCCCTGGCCTTTTATTATATAGGATAATCACCATGCTGTATATTATATTCCCGTGACTAATTTATTTTATAACTGGAACTTGTACCTTTGACTTCTTCATTCATTTTGCCCAACCCCCACCCCACCTCAGACAACCACCAATATGTTCTCTGTATTTATTAGTTGTTTTTTTTTTAAGATACCATATCTATGTGAGATTATATGATATTTGTCTTTCTCTGTCTAATTTATTTTGCTTAGCATAGTACCCTCAGGTCTATCCATGCTGTTGCAAATGGCAAGATTTTATTCTTTTTTTATGACTGAAGAATGTTCCAGTGTTTGTGTGTGTGTGTGTGTGCACTACATATTCTTTATCCATTCATCCATTGATGAACATTTAGGTTGTTTTCATATCTTGGCTATTATAAATGCTGCAATGAACATAGGGTGCATATATCTTTTATGAGTCAGTGTTTGTTTTGTTTGGATAAATAGCCATAAGTGGGACTGTTGGATCATATGGTAGTTCTGTATTTAATTTTTCTGAGGAATCTCCATACTGTTTTCTATGGTGGCTACACCATTTACATGCTTACCAACAATGCACAAGTGTTCCTTTTTCTCCACATCTCTGCCAACACTGTTACTTCTTGTCTTTTTTATAGCAGCCATTGTAACAGGTGTAAGGTGATATCTCATTGTGGTTTTGATTTGCATTTCCCTGATGATTACTGATGTTGAGCATCTTTTCATGTACCTATTGGCCATTTGTATGGAAAAATATCTATTCGGATCTTCTGCCCATTTTTTAATTGAATTGTTTGTTTTTATTGAGTTGTATGAGTTCTATATATATTCTGGATTTTAATCCCTTAATATGGGACTTGCAAATATTTTCTCCCATTCAGTAGGTTGTCTTTTCATTTTGTTGATGGTTTCCTTTGCTATGCAGAAGCTTTTTAGTTTAATGTAGTCCCACGTGTTTATTTTTGCTTTTGTTACATTCATATTTATTGTCAAATACACAAAATAATCATTCTCAAGACCCATGTCAAGGAGTTTACTGATGAAGTTTTCTTCTAGGAGTTTTATGGTTCCAGGTCTTATTTTCAAGTCTTTACCCATTATTTATTTGAGATTTTTCTTGATTCCTGAGGTAGGCATTTATCACTATGAACTTCCCTCTTAGAATTGCTTTTACTGCATATTTTGTATGTTGTATTTCCATTTTCATTTGTATCAAGATACTTTTTATATCTCTTCTGGTTTCTTCATTGACCATTTGTTCAGTAGCATGTTGTTTAATATATTTGAATTTTCCAGTTTTCTTCTTATAATTTATTTCTAGTCTCATAACACTGTGGTCAGAAATATGCTTGATATGATTTTAAATCTTCTTAAATTTGTTAAGTCTTGTTTTGTGTCATGAACAATGTTCCACGTACACTTGAGAATAATGTGTACTCTGTTGCTTTTGGATGGAATGTTCTATATATATCTGGTTAATTCCATCTGGTCTACATATGTCTTTTAAGGCCAATTTTTTTTATGGGTTTTTCTCTCCTGATGATCTATCCACTGATGTAAGTAGGGTATTAAAGTTCCTTACTATTATATTTATGTTATCTATTGCTCCCTGTAGGTCTGTTAATATTTACTTTATGTTTTAGGTGCCCCTATGTTTGGTACATAAATATTTACAAATATATGTCCTCTTGTTGGATTGACTTCTTATCCCAAAAGGTATTCTTAAGTGAGAGGGGTAGTAACTAATATTCTCACCAAAGACAGTAAGAGTCCAAACTTTACTTAGTCACTTAAACATGTTAAGTACTACAAAATGTTAGTAAAATGTACCATCTTATAAAGGAATCTTAACAGGTGAGATAAGGCATCAAAGAACGTTAATTCTGTTTTAGTTTTAGAGTCTAGGAAGTTAAAAGTAATCTAGAAAATACATTACAGTGTTAAAAATAATCAAAATATTGATTCACAAATAAAACTAAAAGTTGGCTACTGCTTATCTGAAGATGAGTTCAAAGGAGCTAACTAGATAGAAAAATACTCATCTTAAGAGTGATTTTGTTGTAAAACCCACAGCTTTTTTCAACTTTACTTGTACCCTAATGCTTATGATGCCTCACTCAGCAGTACAGACTCATGAAATGAATCAATCCCTGGATTAGATTCCTGAAGATTAGAGGAGTTTTCTAACATTCTCTTATAAGCAAGCTTAGTTTATCAGATTAGCTCTTGAAAGATGTGGTAGATTGTCTCCAAAGTGGCTGCCAACAATGCTTTCTATGTGTGTTCATAAATGTTCCTTTTCCCAGTAAGAAGTGGCATTTGTTTCCCCACCCCTTGAATCTGGTTTGGCCTGTGACTTGCTTTGGTTAACAGAATGCGGACATGACATTTTCAGAATTCCAAGCCTAGATCTCTAGAGGCCTTGTAGTACCTGCTTTCACTCCTGGAAGCCGGCTACCCTGCAAATGTCAGACTAGATTACTGAATGACAAGAGGCCACCAGGGGATAACCAGAGTGCCAAGATACTGGGACTGAGGCCATCTTTGACCCTCAAGCCTCTCTTGAGACACTCCAGGTGGTACCATGAGATAGAAGCCCAGTCAGTTCTAAGCTCTTCAGGACATTCCAGCTGAAGCCACAGACAACGCAAGTCATAGGGGAGCCACCCACACAGAGCCCTGCCCAAATTCCAGCCAGACCCACAGAAACATGAACAAATAGAATGGTTTTGTTTTAATATTTGCATAGTTTATTACACAGTAATATATAACTGAAACAGAGAACCTGGCTCTGGGGAATTTGGGGTGAAATGTTTAAAAATATAAATTAAAAAGATAAGAAAATGGCATTGGAAAAGTATGTTTGTAATTTGGGACATAATCCTCCATATGGCGCCTGGTAGAGTGACTGAGACAGGGGAAAGAAACTTAGAATAGCGGTAATGCGGAGACTCTGATGGATGTGTTGGTATCTTAGCAAGAGCTCTCCTCCATACCTATGCTTTTGCCTCATCGTGCAGCTTATAATGATCATTAATAAGTCAGGAAAGCCATGAAAGGGAAAACAAAGACCTTTAACCCCTCACTTATGATGACACCATTACATGTACCATTTATTACCCTTGGGAGAGTCAAGTGGTTCTTTGGCTCCCAGAACTGTTGTTTGAAAGCGTTAGGTTATATCTCAGGGAAAACAAGACAATTTTAAAATTGTGAATATGTATGTGAATATTGTTTTAAAATTCTCATCATTTAAAAATCCCCATCTACAAAATACTTCAAACTTACTGCCATCCCAGTTTTTTCCTTCCAATTAAATGATAGGTCAAAGAGTGAGTTATATATTCTACAATTAATCTGCCTTTTTAATTGCTTTTTCTGTAATCAGAGTCCTCTAAAGTCTATTGATCTCCATACATCTCTCTATATTTTTAGTCTCTTGTCTTTCACTTCTGAAGAGACTTTTCCAGCCAGCTAACCTTTGCTTTATTGATTCCACATAGGCTGCCTGCAAGATTCAGAGTGTGACTGAGCACGAGGCGTGGGCAGAGTGCACCTTGACTGTCTGCCAGGGACCAGGTCTGATCAGATTGCTAGTCCAAGGGGACAGAGCTTCTGACTGCAGACCTGGAGTATAGCACTCCTCTGAAAGGAGCATATAAATCGGAGCTTTCTCTTTTACCCTCTTTCTCTTTTACTCTTACTTTACAAATATAATCAGTAAAAAGTTAAAGTAGACCAGCTGGTTTGGAAGGCACTGTTGTGACGTGGGGATGGGGGATGGTTGACATGAGGATGGAAAAATGAAGTTGCAGCAACAAAATGTCCCAAACCAAGTCATTTCACACCCTTTATGCACCACTAGTATGAGTAACAAGACATATCTGATTTAAACTAGAGAATTGTGGAACCTGAAAATAGTCTTAGCAGCTGTAAATTAGCTATCACCTGCCTGTTGAGTTTGGTCAAAGAGACAAAAGTTGGGACGAGATTCTAGAGAACTATAAAATCTCTCCTCTCATTGTAAAATTAGAAAAAAAAATGCAATTTCTAATTCCTGAAACCCCTAAACATAAATTAGGGGATATATGGTCAATCAACCAATTGCACAATAGAATTTGAAGGAAAATTAACATTGTGGTTATTTTCATGGAAAACGTTAAATGCTCTCATTATTATATGTATTTTTTGGAATATCACCTACCAGGCCCACCCAAAGATTATTTAATTCTTAGGTTATGGTTCAACAAATACTAGGCTTTATGGGCCACTTGGACTCTGTCACAACTACTCAACTCTGCTTTGTTGCATGAAACAAGCCATAGACCAGCGGTTCTCAACCTGTGGGTCGAGACCCCTTTAGCGGTCGAACGAC